AGTAAAATGATAGGGATAATGGGTGAATATGTTCCTAGTTCATAAGTAGACTATTATCTTACCTATGTGGTGTTGATGCGGTCTGGCACGACAGGAGTGTGGTACTGGGGAGTCCAGTTCGTTTTCCTTTACCACCGTGACCACCTTTTTGTGTGACATCGCGTCCTTGTAGAGGACTGGGTTGATACTTTATTACCTATTGGAATTTATATCAAGCGTGTCGGGTATTGATACAGATTTAAGTTAAAGTGTCCTTAATATGATTTTCCATGAATTCGTAATATATTTCTTATGAAATATAGACTTCAACAGTAAGTATTTATCCCGGATATAAGTAGATACTTGGGAGTCATTATTGAACGATTACGATGAAACAAGGGATTACTGTTTTAAAATTTAAAGGAATACTTGCCATAACTGATATGCATAATTTGTATAATTTGGGGATACATGTAACAACATGGAACCTATTTTTGACAAAAAAGTGTGATAGTGTTATAGATAGCATATCTTATATAATAATATTGTACCTGTCTTAAGTAACATCGGTTGATCAAACACTGATTTGTTTCTTTGAAATCATTTATCTTGTGAACAAAGGTTTTCTTTAAAATCTAAATAAAATCCTAATATGTTGCCGGTTATAAACCGCTACTTTGGAAATCACATTTTTTGTAAGTTTGTACGTTAGAAAATACCGGGGTGTTATCATCTTTCTTCAATTCATAGTTGCATATTCGTATAATCGCTTGTATGCATCCTCAACATTCTTTCATTTGCTAGTGCCTTGCTTGACAATACCTCACTTTTGGCTTAAATATTGAGCGTTCGGCTAGGCAAGGAAGGCAATGGGTTCATTCCACAGGCCGGGCATACCAAAGTCCTTAAGAATGGTAGTTATTCCCTGCTTAACGTTCAGCATTTAAGGAAATGGCAACAACGGGTTGATTCGTTGTCAGTATAATGTGACCGGTCGGGTGCTGTGCTGGGTGCCTTCGGCATGGTGTTTCAGTGATATAGCACTATAAAGTCGGCATCAGATCAGTGCTATCACAAGGAGGCAAATACACCAACATACCCTGTCTCCGGCACACATACACACATGCATGCCTACACAACACACTTGGAAGTTCGTCCTTAAATGTCATTAGCTGTTAATAGGCCGTTAATCAAAATAAAACCAAACAATATCTTCCGCAGCACCCCTGTGGATTGGAAATGGAAAATACACCTGTTGTTACCCACTGCATGATCGTTAGAGGCGACTTACGTGGTAACTCCTGGTAGAATTGGCTATTTGCGATTGTGCCCTCTACTTGGGAACGCACAAGCGATCAAAATAAATCTGCAGCACCATTGCAATATTTGGGGTCTTTATGTTTCTCCCTACTTCTAATTACCCTTTGTTTCCGAACGCATTGCTTGGCAATACCTCACATTTGGCTTTAACGTTCGCCCAGGAGAGAAAGGCAATGGGTTCTGTCCCCATGTCCTGACACACCAGAGTCCTCAAAAATAGGAGTTCTTATTTCCTGTTCAATTTTTAGCATTTAGTGTAATGACAACAACTGATTCACCGGTTTTCAGTATAATGTGACCGGGGGAAAGCTATGTTGGGTGCCTCCGGCATGGTATTTTAGTGAAATAGCACTATAAAGTCTGCATCAGATCCGCGCTATTGCAAGGGGGCAATTTCACTAACATACGCTGCCTATTCCGTCTTTGCGTATTGCAGAGTTATCTTCTCTTGTGAGAATGTATTGATTGTTACGTAATTGGTTTGTGTGAGAAAATTACATCGTTTTCTCAAAAATTGATGACGTTACTCTCACAAACCAATGACGTAATGCTACGTTTACATTATGTTCCCGGTGGCCACGGCAATCACGTTTCAGGCCAACGTGGACAAAATGGGATGGACGTGAAATAACGCGGGGGGACGGGATGGGCCAACGTGACAGGGCGGGATTGCCGTGGTTGCCGGGCCAGATTTTTTAACTGTCAAAAGATTTGCCACGGCAGTTACAGTGCGGATGATAAACCTACTAGGCCGTAGTAAAACCGGGTGAACGCAACAAAACGTGACAGTACGTAATAGGCCGTAATATAACTTGGAGGCGGTCCGTAGTGCGACGGGAAGCATGTGTATTTCCCGGCATCTCACAGTCCTTTCAAGTTTTGTCAAGTTCTATCGTTTAGTGCGCGTTCTGTCACCGTTGCTGCGCGTTTTGCCCCGTTTTGCCCCGTTTTGTCACGATTCGCGCGGCAAGTTATAGTGTATGGTAGCTGTTTCGTCGCGTTCAATCCGGCGCGTCCCGGTGTGTGACGGTTTGCGGGCCCGGCGCGTTGCGTTCTACTACGGTCTGACACGGCGCGCGCACGGTCTGGGAGGGAGTATATGAAAGTCAAAATCCCACGGCGCACTACGTTTCGTACACAAAATCTTCTTCATCTTAGGAATTCATGATGTTATCTCGTCGATTCGTCTCAGGATATAATGATTGCTTTTGCTTGGGAGGCCTTTCTTGGCACAAACGTGCTAAAAAGCTACCGGTGTCCACGTTTCATCCATGGAAAGCCTTGACAGAACGTGATAAACGTGTCGGACCTTCATCAGAACGTGAGAAACGTGAGGGACCCCATCAGAACGTGATGGGCATAGAGGGAACGTACTGGCATCCGTGGTAGACTGCGGGCCGAACCGTAGTGCGCCTTGGAGCCTCCGAGACTCAGCAGCCCCTTTCCCCCACGACCTGTCACGAATACCGTGACAGACCGTGGGAAAACTTGCCAAGACTTGAATTCAGAGAAAAAATTGCCAAAAACCCACGGCGCACTACGTTTCGGGCAAACGGGACTGCCGTGGCTGCCGGGAACATAATGTAAACGTAGCATAACAATCAATACCTGCTCACAAGAGAAGATAACTCTGCAATATGCAAAGACGGAATAGGGACCACGGAACGAAATCAAAAATAGATTGTGGGTTTTTCCCTTTTGGGCAGAAGATTTCATAGGAAGGTTAATGCCTCGGGGCCTGCTGCTTAGATATTTAGGTGGCAGAAGTTGCAAAAGTTTTATGTGTTGGTTGAGCAATATATATAAATGTAAAATGTATAGAAAAAAATAAAAAGATGTTCAAGTCTGCTTTTGTCTGGGGGTGTATTAAGTTAGTAGTTTGTTGTACATTTTGGTCAATTTTTGGTGCCGAATTCAATACAAAATGGCGGCCCCCATATCAAAAAAAGTTCAAATAGGCAGAGTTTTTAAATATTTTATTTACAGTTGTGTGAGATGATATTCTTCAAAATGAGAGCAGGTAAACCAGTGTGGATAACCACATTTAACCCAGACAGTGGTAAACGTTAACACTATCGTCTGTGGAAAATCATTTGGTTCTGCGGTCCCTCTAGCACACATATACACATGCACGCATACATGACACACATGGGAACACGTCCTTAAATTACCTTAGCTGTTGATAGGACGTTAAATTCTATGAAACCAAAACAATTTTTCGCCAATTAGTTTCGAGCGGTTTACTCGCCGGATAAATATAAAACTTTACATACGCATTTTTGGGCATGCGTAAATGTAACTGAATAACTTTAAGAAAAACGTTCATTTTATTTCCTGATCACGAGGTACCAACTCAGATATGGTGACAGGTTTAAGGGTATATTACCATTTACATAGCTTCAATTTTCATTTCTAAAATATCATGCCTTTTTATCTGATACATTGCTACCCATTTTTATTCTTTGAAAAAGTATGGATAAAATTTTAAATGTCCTGTTCATTTAATGTCCCTGTTGAGGAACTCATTTGCTGAATGCTGCACTTAAACTATATACAAACATAGATATTACTTTGGTTGCTATTTCTAAATGACTATGACCCCTCTTTGACCGTATACCGTACTTTTATATGTATGATAAAAACATGTACATGTAGCTACTGTAGATAAGTTTTCACTTTATTTCCTGGTCAGAATGTCTCCGCGCAGGACGGTAAACGCTATTAAATGTAGTTATAGTGTTTATATAGCAACGGAAATAAGTTTGATTGCTATTTCTAAATCGTTATGGCACCTCAAGTTTGTACATTGTTAAATGAATGCGATCAGTACTAATGGTTATAACTTTCGTTATATTTCCTGATTATGATGTTTTCTCAGGACTGTACACGATATAGGTGTATAAATCGGTCATACAACCTTGAAAAAATGTTGATTTATCTTTCCCTGTCGTGATGTCTTTGCCCAGGAACACGTTTTATTCTGCTTTCTGTTTTGTTGCGATTGTTTTACCAAGATGATGATGATCTCTCAGAATTGTTTGTTCTTTTATGTGAACTGATATGAAGTAACTGATATTTTATCCATTTATCCAAATATGTCCCCATTAGGACGCTCATTTTGCTGAAGTAGACATGAGTGACAAGGTGATAGTGAGAAAGATAAAATGTCGTAAGCGTTAAACAATCAATCAACCTTTCGTTTTATAAATTATTGATTTCCGTTAAAGAATGAAGTATTACACGCACTTTTGTAAAGGATACACCTACATGAGTTGGTTTAAGATCTAGTAAAATTATGTGAGGAAATTGGAAATATTCAAATCCTGTTCGAATTCCGGACGTGTTATCCTATCTTGATTTGGGAATCCACATCCAAATCCATTTCAGGAAGTTGAAAGATAAAGATTGAATTTACATTGATTTTCAAATATATTTAAACATATAGTTTTTTTAAACTATACGATAGAAAACTTCATGTCACAGCGTTATCACAAGCAAAAATGAAGAACAAGAATACAGGTATCAGGCGTAAGTGTAAGTCATATTGTATCATACATACTGTTGAATCATATACGAGTGTACACCACACTGTACCCGTACGTTGTATTTACATTCATATGTAACATGCACTAGGGTACACAGCAGTGTAGTCACATACACAAATATCTCAATCTTATCAGTTATGATGCATACGATGTCAAAAACTGTGACTCTTTAATGGCGTCCACCTGAACATGTTCCAGAAGGAGGACATTTCATCAAAATTGTAAAATGAAATCTAAGGTAAGCGTTAACGCCAATATTTCGGAAACTTTCTGTTCCTTGCTAAACTTGATACTTCATGTTTATCGACATGCTTATAGTTTAACTGTATTCATATCAATAGTAAAGGAGTTTCGTTATCAGTAAATATTGACCAGTGATGTTGTTTATGACTGGCTATGTTGTATTGAGAATAATAAATGCCATGTAGTAATCAGTAACCAACTGGATTTACAGGTAAAATACTCACAGGTATATATAATTTAGAACGCACCTTTTAACAGACACTGTATATTTCTGTGTGAATAATGCCATTTTCAATGCGTATACATCATTAATAGCTATTCATTTTTATGTATTCTTATTTGAAAAAGCACATAGGTTATGCACTGATACTATTTGTGTCAACAACTATGTTGAGCCAAGACAAGAAGTAGGTAACAAAGTAACTAACATGGTATGTTGAGCCAAGACAAGAAGTAGGTAACAAAGTAACTAACATGGTATGTTGAGCCCAGACAAGAAGTAGGATACAAAGTAACTAACATGGTATGTTGAGCTCAGACAAGAAGTAGGATACAAAGTAACTAACATGGTATGTTGAGCCCAGACAAGAAGTAGGATACAAAGTAACTAACATGGTATGTTGAGCCCAGACAAGAAGTAGGATACAAAGTAACTAACATGGTATGTTGAGCCCAGACAAGAAGTAGGATACAAAGTAACTAACATGGTATGTTGAGCCCAGACAAGAAGTAGGATACAAAGTAACTAACATGGTATGTTGAGCCCAGACAAGAAGTAGGATACAAAGTAACTAACATGGTATGTTGAGCCCAGACAAGAAGTAGGATACAAAGTAACTAACATGGTATGTTGAGCCCAGACAAGAAGTAGGATACAAAGTAACTAACATGGTATGTTGAGCCCAGACAAGAAGTAGGATACAAAGTAACTAACATGGTATGTTGAGCCCAGACAAGAAGTAGGATACAAAGTAACTAACATGGTATGTTGAGCTCAGACAAGAAGTAGGATACAAAGTAACTAACATGGTATGTTGAGCCCAGACAAGAAGTAGGATACAAAGTAATTAACATGGTATGTTGAGCCCAGACAAGAAGTAGGATACAAAGTAACTAACATGGTATATTTCGATAAGAACTAGAATTGATAACAACAGTTATGGATTAACTGAAATAAAATGGTAAAGTAAACAATAATATGTCACAAACAGTGACAGGTGAAACAAACAAGTACGATTTTATTACCGGGAATAGTAAACAAGAGAATAACAAATATTTAAAAAACTGAGCCAGTGGTCGTAATTTACAATAATACAACACATACACCTGTATTGCGTACAACGAATTATGAGAACAGCATGTATGATAGACACGAAATAACAACATATTTTATGCAGGCTATGCTAAAGATTGAAACTACATTAATAATGTAAATAATGTAGAAAGCAGTGTGACAATGACCTCATTTCTCGCCAGTTTAAAAAAAGATAACGATAGAGCACACATAGTGATATTGTATAGGGGAATCCCCGTCGAATTCCGTTTCACAAAATCGGAAGGTATAGGCATAATTGTGATACTGGGGGTGTTGATCACATTGATTTACATATACTTTTAAGTGGACAGTTTTTTAAATTTATACAGGATATCTAATAACAGTGTCTGCAGTAATACCAAATATATTTCATGAGTGTGGCTTATATATTTGGCATTACTAAAGACACTGTTAGATATTCTGTTTATTACATTTTTTTTTACCATAAACTACCCCGTAACGCAAAAAGACACATCAAGCTGACAGTACTTGATCTGGATACAACCTTACGCGACAAAATATAGTGAAATAGTAAAATCCTATTATTAAAAGCCTTTAGTTACATATTTAATATAAAAAAGGCACTTCAGTTCATACGTTTAATAAAGTATCCCAAATTACTAACATAATTTTATCATTTAGAAAAAGTCCCGTCTTATCAGTCAGATCGTTGTGTTTCCCCTGGAGAATAACCTGCCCAGAATAAGTAACATATAATTTTTATGGACAGCAGAATGGGCTGATGTCTCAAAAGGAATTTTTCGAGGCCTGCGTATCGTTAAGCTAACCAGGCTTTGAACAGATTGGCCACTTGTAATGTGTCTCATGGTAGTTTGTTATCAGTGTTTTGATTGGTCAAAAGTGATAGTGAAAAATGTTACTTTCATAGAATGAATATATACATTTCAATATTTGACTGGAAAAAATGTAATAGAAAATAAAACCTACTGCCCACAGCGTCATTACGGGAGAATTGGACAAAAAAAAATCAAAATAACGACAGAATCTAACATAATACTAACAAAAAATAATACAAATACAGGTATCATCCGTAAGTGTAAGTCATATTGTTTCGATCAATTATCATACATACAATTGTTTCATATGCAAATATTTAACAATCACGGGAATTAAACAACAATTACGTCATTTTACACTCACATGAATTATAAAAGTGCACACCACATTGTATGCAGATGTCATTTTACATTCACATGAATTATACAAAGTGGTCGCCACAATGTACCCGTACATCATTTATATTTACATGAATGATACAAAGTGTATACCATATTGTACCCGCACGCTATTTTACATTCGCATGACTTATACAAAGTGTTCACACAATTGTACTAAGATGTTATTTTACATTAATAGGAATCCTACAAAATGTTCACCACATTGTACTAGTACGTTATTTTACATTCACATGATTTATACAAAGTGTATAACATATTTTACTGGTACGTTTTTTTCATTCACATATATCCAATGGAATTGCCAGGGTCTGGGAATATCCATGAACACTTAGTCCCTAGGACGAAACTTTCAAACTGTTGAGCTCCCTACCTCATAACTATATGTAAGATTGCTAAGCATAAAGAGATACACACAATCACGATATCAGAATCGACCCTAAGATCTGGCCACACCCTTTATGTCTCGGATCTCGAATTTCAACTTTAAAACAGTTTGATATGCTCATTCTAATAACTATATCTACCATTACTGAGTGTAAAGAGACAAACACGATCATTATATGAGTGGTATTAACCGTTGGTTTCGGCCATCCCGGAGGCCTAGAACTCTGTTCTGGTCTGAACAACTTGTTTCCTATGGCATAACATAGGGACATTTGAGATCCTTAACCTAGAGCAACATTATACCACTGCTGAAGCTGAACATTTTGATACAAAATATACTACCAGTATTTGCTGTGGGGACTGGCCATATTCTTTCTCCAATCATTTGCTATACAAATGTAACATCTACACAACAACCAAAAAGGTGTAAAGTGTAACCAAGGTGTAAGGTATAATCAAAAAGTCTTCACTCTTATGTTCACCTTCCTTTCTTTCATCCTTTACTGATCTGCAAACTTCATCATTTTATATATATGTGTCTTTATCTGTTCAACAAATGTTGGTATTTTCATATCTGTATTTGATAGTATACTTAACAGGAGGCCAATGACCATGTAGCTCTCTGAAACATGCATGCTTCGCACAGAATAACTGATATTGGTACATCGATCTAGTTTAAATCTGGATAATAGCAAACAAAAACATACGTTTTATGAATTAAATAAATTCAATTCTTTGACGTCGTTATCTAACTGTGAACTGATTTTTTGGTACATACAGTTTGAATTTATAATTGCCACTGTATCAAGAAACCACTAAAAACGAAAATGTTAATTACTCCAACTAATCGTGATTTTGAATCGTTTGATACCAGGATAAAAGTACGGAATCTTGTCACCAATTCAAGGCTTTTACATGCCACATGAATCGATCTATATGTTTAAATAAGCGGGCATTTTTACCGAAAATTGTTCTAAACCCCCAAAACGTGTAAAATTACTCCAAACACGGGACGTGTGGAGGTTCAGACTTTATGTCCAAAGAGTGTGGAAAGCATGCATGATCTAAATTTAGCAACACTAGTCTCTGAACACCTACGAAATAAATTCACTCAAATTACACAAATCCATTTCAACAGCTAAAAATGGTCAATTGAACATCTGAAGTAAATACGCTTCAATCTCAGTATAATACAATATCATTATTTTATATTTTAGCTGCTTTCGTGTTTCCTAGCTCGGAGACCACCCAAAAAAACGCGTCTGATCGCATTAGCTTTCTGGGGCTCCGTCCTCAGATAACTAAAAATGAAATGATTCATTAACATGCTTATGATTTTATTACTACGTTATCATATTTTCTCCTTTTTTCAGAAGATGAGCTGAATTACTGCAGGAAAGACTAGTTTTAATAACGTTGAGAATGGCGTCGGGTTCAGGAGGAGATAGGAGTAAGTCCTCCCTTGTTTGTTTTGCTGTTAGCTGTAATACTCTTCAACAAATCTTTACAGCAGTGATCGATGTCCAAATTATAAGGTGTATGTGGAATAAATTCATTAGTATTCCTCTTAACAACAATTAATTTTATATTCAACAGCAAGAAAGCACGATAATGTTGGACATTAACAAATTGATTAGACTAACATGCTCAATTACATGTAAGCCAGGGATATCTCTATAGTTCTAATGTCCCTATAACATTGCTTGAATTGATTTCATGACTTTTTCGTGTACTGTAAATAAAACCAAATTTTATAGGTGTAATCACATGTGTGACTTTCCTACAATGACAATGAAAAATTAGCTTTTCTGAAGTGAAAAACGGCATAAGGTCTATTTGGTGCACATTAAAGGGACATCACGTGAAAAGGCGTTTTTTTTTTAACGAATGTATGTATTGTATGCACTTCCACTTATGTTACCTCGCTATCCCCATATTCATAGTCCGTTCCAAATGTCCAGTTTGACCACTTGAATTGTTCGGGAAAGCCCGGCTAAAAATAGCGCCGATAACGTCACCTGATTAGGCAGCAAACACAAGTGGTGCGAGCGAGATGAAACGGTTTACAAAGGGGCCCTCAGAGAGGGGCCGTCAGGCAACTGCAACTTCTTACCGCACTATGAAACCAAGTTATATGATTTCTAATTCCGTATTCAAACTTATTGAACAGTAATTATTCATCATCAGAAGTTAATTGCACACTTGCCAATATTAAGAATTTAAATTTATTTAGCTTTTAACATAAATTTGTTGCCAATAAAATTAAACAAAGGATGGGGCACAAGTTTTTACAATTTATCACAGCCTTCTCCCGTGACCGGTACAGGTGGTACGGGGCTAAACACTCCCTCAACAATGGGACAAACCTTTCTGTAAAAAGGAATATTCACGAGACGAATATCCCTTTTCAAATGTTTACATAAAGTGCATATATGCAATGACAAACTACACGCGAATATAAAAAGGAAACGTTTGTGAATTTATTTATTACATTAAACAACTCAATGTCTTTGGCCATTTTTTTTCTAGACCATGAATATAAATCTATGTATACTCTCTTTCCCACTTTCACTGTCTCCAAACGCTAACATTTAGGAAGTCATATTAACCATCACACACAATAAACTGTATGGCAAAACCACTACGTGTACATGTAGAATATGTGTCAATAAGGAACGTGTTGAGATACTTGATAATTATATTTTTTCAATACTTTACAGAGATTAAAGCATACTT